GAGAGAGAGAAAAAGAGAGAGAGAGAAAGAGAGAGAGAGAGAGAGAGGAAGAAAGGAAGGAAGAAAGAAAAAGAAAGGAAGACAAAAATATAGACCCTTCTCTCAGGGAGTGTACATTCTAATGAAGGAGATAACATGTAAATAACTAGGTACATATGAGGTATTTACAGGATAGGTGAAGGTATTTGGGAAGACCAGGAATGGTCTCCTGTAGAAGATGAGTTTTGAATTTAGTAGTGAAGGCAGCAAGAGAAATTAAGAAGAGGTAAGGGGACAGAGTACTCTAGGCATAGGGTACAGACAGGGCAAAGGAATGGGAATATTGTGTGCAATGTAGAGCAGCACAGCTGAATCACAGACTACATGGAGGGGATTGACGTGTAAGAAGACAGTAACAATCTTTGGGTTGGCCACCTGTAGGGAGGTCTGTGGTGCTAGAGACCATGGGAGTCTTATTTCTTTCCAGGATAGGAAGAGAGGATGAGATCAGGACCAGAGGGCAAGCTTTTCCCCCTTCAGTGGGAATTTTAGAGGCTCTCTGTAATGGAGGTAAAGGACACAAAAGGAGGGGATGGTGGGACTTTCTGTTGACACATGGACTTTTTATACATTACCTGATCCTCTTCAGTTTGTTTCTCCTCCCTGCCAAATTACTTTGGTCATGGAGGGTGGGAGGTGTTTTGTACCAATGTTCTTACTACGTCAGCTTAGTAAATGCCCTTTTCTAAGAGTTACTTAATCTTTCTGAAAATGATTCTCTACTGACAGTCTTGCAGGGGGTGGGGGTGGGACATACTACTGGGGGCTCAAGCTGACACACTAGCTGATAAGTCTCAACAACTCGGGGTAACCCTAGAATCCCAAAGTGGGATATACAGCTTTCCTCTGGGATGTGAGATGCATCTTTGAGTCTGGGAATTGGGAGAGGCATCCTATAGGCAATGCAAACTTCCGTATTTCTTTTGAGGTCTGAATTAGCCTTTCAGTTATTCAGGCTCACAACCTTGGTGTCATCCTTGCTACTTCACTCCCACTCTACAAATCCACTCGGTGGTCAAATCTCATTTCTATCTCCACATTATCACTCATATCCATCCCCTTCTCTCCATGACCACAAGCATCACCCTACTTCAAGCCCTCAGCACCTCTCATCTGGACTATTTCAATAGCTTTCTTTCTTTCTTTCTTTCTTTCTTTTTTAAGGCAATTGGGGTTAAGTGACTTGCCCAAGGTCACACAGCTAGTAAGTGTCACATGTTTGTTCTGAGGCCAGATTTGAACTCAGGTCCTCCTGACTTCAGGGCCAGTGCTCTGTCCACTGCGCCACCTAGCTGCCCCTTCAATAGCTTTCTGACTGGTCTCCCCAACTCAAATTTCCCACCTCTCTGATCCATTCTCCGCAAAACAGCCAACATGTTAGTCCTAAAACACGTCTAACCACGTCATTCCCCTGCTTAATAAACTACACTGATTCCTTTTGCCTCTACTGTCAGGTATAAACCCCTCTCTCAAGCCCTTCAGTCCCTTCACAACCTGGCTCAATGTATTTATTTCCTTTTTTAAGTATATTTTCCTATTTTATATAATTACAATAATAATATAAATATAACATATATATTTCCTATTTTGTACAATTATAATGTATAATTTGTATAATTATAATAATAATATAAAACGCATATTTTTTCCGACCACTCTGGCTCATGTGGCTTAAAGTGTCTTCAAGGGCAAAGGAAAAGGAAATTTGGAACTTAAGGGAATGTACATGTGCATATATCTTCTTATTTCCCTATTGACTCATTCGTCTGTTTCTCTTGGTTAAAACCAAAAGGGCTAGAGTCATTGGGAACACTTGCTGCATAATAACAGAGGTAGTGAGTCTAATGGATATGTTTAGGTTTAGAGGTTTAGGGGTGCTGGGACCCAAAATCATGACACACAGGTCCTGCCCAAGTGAATTCGACCCAAGCCTTCTTTCAGTCAAAGCCAAGGTTTATTAAAGATTCGCCATATTGGCCAGACTCTCAAGGAATCTGAATATTTGTGAGCTATTGACTAGATTATAAATATCTGAGCCCTTGGCTAAGTTCTTAAGGAATCTGAGCATTTTAATGGAGGCCAGATAGACCTTAAATACAGAAAGACTGTGGGAGGGATCTTGGAGTGGCCAAATAGTTTGGGGTGACTAGAGGAGGGGTCTAAAGAGGATCTGGATGGAAGCGGTCACTAAGTGGGGTGAATAGAATGCCAGGGACCTGAACCAAATGGCCAAGGGAGAATGGAGTCTAGATAGGACTAAGGTTAGGAAGTGGCCAGGGGCAATCTGGAGGTAATAGAACAGAATTAGGAGATTGGGTGTAGCCACAATGAAAGACCAGTTGAATGGATTACAGCCTCAGGCAAATGCCAGAGATTTGGGGAAAGTCCAGGGATTTTCTTTTTTGGGGTCCAGATCCCAAAGACATGGTGTTTTCCTTTTAGGGGTTCATATCCCATCCCTGTCAGATGGAGGGTTGGCTTCAGAATCCCGAAGACCTGGCTTTGGATCTTACCTCTACAAGAGCTCTGGGAAAATCTCAGTGCTCTAGACCACTCTTTAAGACCATAAGTTACTGCTGAGTTGCTGATGATTCACCCTTAGGTCAGCATAAGGGTGGCAGTGGTGATGGTGGCCATAGAGGTTTTCATAACCTCATGTGACAATCACAATGCAATTCCCTACCTGTCTGGGTAGGGAAAATTATAGCCTTCACAGCTTTGCCTTCTTCCTGTCAGTCCAGAATTCTGAGGTTACTAGTCATTTGTGGCCCTGCCCCACCCACCAAAAATGGTTCACATCTGAATGCAACAGTCCTAATTCATTTACATATCTGATCATCATCAGTCAAAGCAGATTAATTATATCGGGACAAAAGCACAGTAGTGGCATGAAGCATTGTGACAACCAGCAAAAATTGTCTTGTCAACACTGGAACAGCAATGATAGCTCATCATTTCCTCCACTCCCCAGGGTGGAGTTCAGACTCTTCCATGTCACTCTCCCTGCTGTTCCAGAGCTGTTGGATGAGATGTCTGGAAGATCAAAAACTTATCATGAAACCTCTTTTCATTGGACTGGGAGCTCTTTGAGAGCAAGATGGTCTTACTTTTTTTATTTGTACCCCCACGGCTTAGAACAGTGGTTTGTACATATTAAGTGCCTAACTACTGTGTTATTAATTTGTTCAGTCTTTCATGTCTCCCCCATATCAGTAGCAGAGATAGTGGGGCAGCAGTACCAGACTCAAGAATATTGTAGAAAGTTCAATAATTCTCCTACAGAATTAACTTGTGATCTCTTTGAGAGCTGGAAATGTCTTTTGTCTTTCTTTACATCCCCAGGGTTTATCACAACCTGGTGCATAGTAGGTACTTAATAAATGCTTATTGGCTGACTGGAGAGGAGAACTACTGGGTGAAAATGACTTCAGAGCTGGCCTTGTCCAGCTCTTCTTTCAGGGTCCTGGTCTTAGAGAAGGAAGGAATAGAAAGAAACCTCAAGATTGGCAAACTGAGGCTGGAGGAGACATGGCCTAGGCTAGGTCTACACAAAGCCTTAACTTCTCTTTCCCTTCCACCTCCTTCCTTGCTCTTCAACTTGTTCTCTGCACTGTTCACCACAAATCACTCTTCTGTCCCTTTGGCTTAGCCAACGAGTGGGATCTGGGCTGGGACTGTGGCTCATACCATTGACATCCCAGTACAGGCAGTTGCTAGGGACACATTGCCCAGAGACTCCAAGGTTGTATCCAAACAGACATGTCCCTTACCTCAGAGACGATGCATTTTAGGCCATGATAGGAAAGAGTCCATGATGGTCTTGAGAGGTAGGTATAATATATAGCAAGGTCCTTGACCTGTAAGACAGGGTAATTTTTCTCCTAAAAGCAAGGAAAATGTCTCTGAAATTTGATTGGTCTGGGGACTATAAGACTTAAGTCATTAATGGTACTTCCTTGTCACTTAAAGGCAATAAAAGAAGCCTGCTCATAAGGGGTCAGTGCCCTTCAGATTTCCAACTGCTCTGTGAGTCACCATATACTGATGACCAGATGCATTTCCCTGTGGAGACAGTGGGTCCAGGTCTCCCCTGAATCAATGCTGTGTCCATGCTGAATGCATCCTCCATGCTAAAAGGCTAAGTTATCCTCTTTTTGTTAACTCTTGGATGGTCTACAAGTGTTTTATTTCATTCCAATCTCAAACCTTAGTTACCAGACTGGTCTGAGTTAGATAATCTATAGCATTTTCTTGTAGCAGGAAGGATTGAATTGAAATGGCTTACATCGTGGTTGAAATGGGGGAAAGGCAATGCCGATGTGGAGGATGGAGAAGCATGGTACCATGTGGCAATGGGTCAGAAGACTCTCCAGTGACCTGATGTAATTAACTGAGTGGAAGCTAAAGGAGACTGAGAAAGAGGATAAAGTTGATGTCAGGAGTAGCATTCTCTAGTTATTGCTTATAGTCCTAGAGAAACTAAGGCACCAGCATAAGAAAAATGAAAGCAAGCCGGCCAAACACATTTAGCAATTAGAGAAAAAGCTTTCGATTTTTTTTTTCATGAAGGCAACTGATGGACTTAGAAGCAGGACAAGTTAAGGGGGTGACATTGATGGAGGTTGGGACCACTGGGCTGTGGGCAGGAAGTTTGTCTCCAACTCTGGTATTGCTAGAGAATGTGCTAAATTCTGATGATATATCACAGATATAAGAGAAGAGAACAGGAGCAGAAGTGAAGAGGAGAATTGGGAGCCATCCATCATCAGTGATTAAGGTAAGAAAGCCTCTGGTTTATCCTTTGAAGTTTCCACCCAAAGCATGATTTCTTCTGCAGTGGTGGTTTTCATCACCAAGGAACCAGAGAGGTCAGAGAATCTTAAATGACAGTCTGTGAGTGACCCGAACATGGTTATTGAGAATACATTTCAATGGAGCCAATTTAAAAATCCTCTCCACAGCAGAGTTCCGTGGACTTGGAAAGCCTGCAAAAGACTTCCTGTTGTAAAGCAAACAGAAACAGAAAGAGCCTAATGTAAGGAGCAGCCTGAAAGCCCTGGCAAGAGGTGGGGGTGTGTTTTAGGGAGAGCTTCAAAACTTGGAAGACCTGGATTTTCCATTTACATCAGAAAGTGTTCCAATCAGAGTTAAGTGCAGCAGGCAGAATCTGTACTAGGAACTGAGAAGTTAGACACACACGCCTTAAAGAATTGATCCTAGGAACACGGCAAAGAGCTAAGGGAAACTATGTGAAGGGAGAAAAGAACTTCCTGTAACCAGCAGCTATGAATTTATCATTTGGTCACATGTACTCTCTAAGTTTGAGCCCACGCTTCCTCATGTTCAAGGGTATTTCTGTAATAACTATCTTTGTTAAACCTTTCTTTTTTTTTTCCTTAATTGATTTATTTTTTATTTTTTAATTTTTTTTTTGGCAAGGCAGTTGGGGTCAAGTGACTTGCCCAGAATTACACAGCTAAGTAAGTGTCTGAGGCGAGATTTGAACTCAGGTCCTCCTGACTCCAGAGCTGGTGCTCTGTACACTGCACCACTTAGCTGCCCCCATTTGTTAAACCTTTCTAAATACTAATTATCTGACTGCTAGTTAACAGAACGTATACTTATGGGGACTTGTGGTGACCTGATGAGAAATATGAGCTTCATGCCCAGAACATGGCCAGCAATAATATCTGATACCTTATAATTAACTTTGCACTTTTCAAAAGAACGCTCATGGAGTATCTCATCCAGTCTTTGGCAATAACCCTATGAATCAGGTATTATTCTTATTTATAGATGAGGAAACAGGCCTATAGAGCTCAAAAAACTTACCTAAGGTTCTTCAGCTGGTTGGTCAAGGGGTTGTAGTCAGAATCCCAGTGGAAGAGTCCGATGTCTTTTCTATACGACCTCAAAAGTAGTTAGATGCGCCTCCAAAATTGATTATACTCACTCTCAGCCTCATCATCAGGTCTTTTCCAATATCCTTCTTCTCTGAATACTCTTCCTCATTACAGGTTTCCCTTACTTTAATAGGAAAAAAAGGAAGGAGAGAGAGACAGACACAGAGACAGAGGGAGAGTCGGACAGAGACAGAGACAGAAGCAGAGACAGACAGACAGAAAGAGAAATAGACCTAGACAGAGGTAAACACCTAGGGATCTCTTGACAGCTCAAATGAAATATTTGTAAAAAGAGCTTAGCACACTGCCTCACACACAACAGATACTGCATAAATGTTTATTCCTTTCTCTCCCCCACCCCCCGAACCTAATTCTAAAACCTAACGTCTTCCTTAGGTGTTGTTATTTCATGTGTAGGTTTTAAGAGACAGCATGATGGCTCATGGACTGGATATGGAATCATAAGGTAATCATAAGGCTAGGATTTGAATCCTGCCTCAGATATTTGTTAATTATTTGATTGTAGGTAAAACAAAACCTCTCAGAGCCTCTGTTTCTGTCTCTGCAAAATAGAGATAATAATATGCATATGACCTATTTCATAGAGTTACTATGAGAAAAGTACTTTTAAAACTTTAAAGCACTATAAAAATGTGAATTATCATTAGGTTGCTGATGCTTTAAATTACAGACCCTTAGAAGGAAGACCAATCAATTCATCTTTGTGTCCTGATTGCCATCGAAGTGTGTGGTGGGTCTTGATAAAGAAATTACAGTAGTGAAAAGAAACCCACCCACACCCACATGTATGGTATCTGGGCAGAACAAATGTGTCCTCGTTAAGGTTAAGCATTCAAACTAGTAGGAAAGCTAGACTTGAGGTTACAGATAAACTGCATTTCAGTCTAAGGGAGGAAATGTGCTTCTCAAATGCTACCCACAAGATCTAGCTATCCAGGAAGCATAGCTACCCATTTCGTAAAGGAAAAAGTTGCAAGGTAATAAAATCATTTTTTTATACAGATGGGAAAACAGATTGCTTATTAACCACTTAAGTGCCATGTCCCTGTGGGTCTAATATGTAAGGATGAGGTTACCCAACAAATCACAAGATGCTCAGATATTTTAACTGAATCAATCAAATTTTAACAAGGTGTAAATATGTCCTTAATCAATTTGAAACGATCATGGGTGCTTTGAGCTATTGGATGATGGAAAGGAAATATTTTCAGATTTGTTGAAGGTTTGCCCTGAAGCTGTACATCAAACAAGTCAGTTTGTGAGTTCTGGCAGTCTACTAATCTGTAGTACCAGCCAAGCCCCTGGAAGAAAATTGCTTATAGGGAGGAAAGAATTTCTCCTCTCTCACCTTTCCTCCACAAGATGGCCTTGTAAGTTCAAGGGATCCAGTGGTCAATCAATTGTCAATAGTCAATAACATTTATTAAGTGCCTACTGTGTGCCAGGCACTGTACTAAGTAGGACCATCAGAGGTCCCACCAGCAAACAGAGGTCATAGAAGTGACCACTGGAAGGGCAGCTAGGTGGCACAGTGGATAGAGCTCCAGCCTTGGAGTCAGGAGGACCTGAGTTCAAATCCAGCCTCAGACCAGACACTTGAAACTTACTAGCTGTGTGACCCTGGGCAAGTCACTTAACCCCAATTGCCTCACCAAAAAAAAAAAAAAAGTGACCACTGGAATGGTAATGACCTTCGGCAGAGGACACACTTAGAGACAGATGTGGAAAGATAGCTACAGGTCTTCAGTTAAGTGGATGCCCTGTTGAGAGAAATAAGTACTAGTTATGGATTCTAGAAAGGTTCTGATATTCAGAATCCAGAAGAGGATCTTATCTAAGGGGGAATTCATTAAAGCTCTAGAAAGGGAGAAATGGACTCCTAGTTCCAGGACTTATGAAGTACCATGTGTCACATGTGCTCCCTGTATAGGTATACTACCTTTGTGCTTTGACTTCAAGCCCACAATCCTCAAGATAAGCATATACACATGTGTATTTATTTTCTTTTTTTAATGTAATAACTATAGTATACTGGAAAGCAATGGATATCAGAACTCTTTTTATGATTAAAGGACAAATGTAATTTATCTGATTGTGGACAAAAAAAGAGATTTTTGGTTACTAGCTATAAGCTAAGGTGGAGTCATTCACAGAGAGGACCCAGAGTTCGAACCCAGAAAGATAAGAGGAGAGAGAGGTGAAAGATAGATTTCAGAGCTACATCAGCTGGAAGCAATGAATACCACAGTTGCCACTTAGGAATAATTTTAGCTGACTAGAGGAACAGACTGGTAGCAAAGAATCAGCAACATCACTTAGCAGACTGACTCATTTGCCTGACACATCAGAGACAAGGATCTTTTATGAAGAATTCCCAACAAGAAAGAGAACCACAAACTTAAGAGTGCCATCACTGTGAGTTACCTCAAGCACATAGGTTTTCTTCATTCATATGTCTCTTCAGAAGGTTTTTGTAAATGTCTTTCCACTCTTCCCCATACTGAGTGTATTGGTGACAGCGTATGACCTAGGTTTACATGTGGCATTATTATTTCTGCAACTGCTTTAATATGTGAGTACAGTACCTATGACATTACTTTTTCCTTGTTGCTAAGTAAATGTTTATGTTTAAGATCTAAAAGTATCATCATTATGGTACTGTTTCATTTGTATAAATGGAAATATATTAGTGGAGGCTTGAGAATTGAAGTGATAAGTCAGGTGTATATTCCCCCGTAACAGGGTTACTCTTGGGACCCTGAGAGAATTGGAATGTAATCATTTAGTGGTGGTTTTTCTTTGGGTACCTAGCCTGCCAATTTGAGAACAGATTAGAGGCAAGGAGCCAGTCCAGAATGGAGTATGTGTCCACACACCTGACGTGAAAAGTGTGAGGTACAGCACCACATTGCTTATACTACTTTTTTCTTTTTCTTCTGACCCGCTGCCTCTTTGGCTGTTACTATTGCCTGCTGTTAAGTGGACCGTATTCTTATCTGCAAACCATATGCCTTCTTTTTCCAGGGGTAGCATGATGGCTCCAGTCCCAGTACTCAGAGAAGAAGATAGCAAATGCAGAGTCTAGACATTCAGAAAAGCATATGGTAATGAATAAAGCCCCTGCCTTTTGCAATGAGAAATCATTAACTTGTGTTCAGCAAAGGTTTGTATGACTTCATTCTTGCCAGCTAATCTCTTTGAACCTTAGTTTTAAGGAAGACATTTCTCAATGTGAGCTATTTACCAGCTGGGATTCCAGGGCATACTTTCAGGCCCAATGAGACAGTACATGTGAAGCTCTTTGAACTGTTTATATGAAGAGCTATAAATCTCAAGTATTGCTCCCTGGCTTCCAGGTACACTATGAAGATTAATGCGGGATAGTAATAAATACTTGGGCTTCTCAGATAAATGGTACCACATAAATAGAAGCCCTTTTGTTGTCTTTCAAAGATAGAATGCTAACAAAAGGTTATACAACATGGGCACACGGTATCTTGAGGTTTAAAGAATGACTGATTATTACTGCCTTAATGCTAAGGCAAGTGGTTCTGTAAGTTTTTCGTATTTGATTTTTCATCACAGATCAAAATGTCTTGGTGATCACCATTGTAGTAGTTCTGGAGAAAGCTGAGCTATATTGAGGGTACAATACATGGTATATTGATCCTGGCCACTTGCATAGATTTTGGGGGGGAAGGTATTTCATTTCTGTTGCGGACATGCATTTGAGGTACCTACCTATGGGACATTCAGGTTGAAATGTCTATTAGACAGCTGGTGATATGGAACCAGAGCTCAGGAGAGACAATAGGACTAAATCTGGCAGTCGTCTGAATAGAGATGATAATTGAACCCGTGGGAACCAACGAGGTGAGCAAGAGTGTGTACACGGAAAATTTTAAATGTCCCAAGTTAAGAGCTTTGGGACATACTCACAATGAAAGGATTCGATATAAATGATGGTCCAGCGGCGCAGGCTAAGAAGAAAGTTTCAGAGAGGCAGGAGGGGAACCCAGAGGGAGCATTCTCACAAAAACCCTGAGAGAGCATTTAGAAGGAGATAGTCATTTGTGTAGAATGCAGAAAGATGAGGACTCAGGAAAGGCCGGTGGATTTTATCATTAAGAAACCATTCAGTAACTTTGGAGAGAACAATTTTAAGAGAAGGTACAAAGTGTAGACAATGAGTGTAGATAATTTTTTTTCCCTAAGAGTTTGATTGTGGAAGGGATAGAAGGATCAAGTGAGGGTTTCTTTCAAGCAACAGGGAAGGAGCAACTAGATAGGGAGAGACTGAGGTTTAGCGAGAGAAGGGCCAAATGGAAGTCAATGTAAGGATATGGTTCCCAAGATCTCTTGGCTCCCAGAAGTGATCCATAGAACCGTAAGTTTAAGAACTTTTTGTCTATCCATTCTTATCACAGAATGCAAGCTCCCTGCGTGCAGGGATTGTCTCTTTTCTTTCTTTTGTATCCCTAATATCTAGCATGGTGCCTGGTATATAGTAGCTGCTTAATAAATGTAATAAAAACAGCATCTTCATTAGTTGACATTTATTAAGCACTCACAATTTCTGTTAGACTTGAGTCTCTTAAGGAAGCACCTGGAAATAAGATGGTTAAAATGCTAAACACTCAAGAAGTAGGAGATAGATTCAAGTGAAGAAGATGGTGGCATCATTTATTAAAAAAGAACAGAAAGTAGCCTGCTTTGGAGGGCAGTAAGGGAAAAGAGTCTCTATATAAGGTAAATGTAAATAAGGTAGCATAAAATCCAAAAGCTTGAAGGTAAACTGAAGGAATCCAAGGAAAGCAGATGAAGAACCTGAGGCCTTTAGGCCACATGTGGCCCTCTAGATCCTCAAGTGCAGCCCTTTGAGTAAATCCAAACTTCACAGAACGCATCCCCTTAATAGAAGGATTTGTTCTGTAAAACTTGGACTCAGTCAAAGGGCCGTACCCAAGGACCTAGAAGGCCACATGTGGCCTCAAGGCCGCAGGTTCCCCACCCCTGGGTATCATGACAAGGACCGGGAGTAAAGAAAGAAATTAATATAGTAGAGGAAGAGAGACAATGGGGAGGAAATACAAACGTATTATTGTGCCTTCTTATGCAAAAAAGATGGCCCCCGGGTTCTTGAAGGCTCCAGATACAAGTCTAGTTCTGGTAGATTCTACCGAAGCTGGAATGGACAGTCTGGACCAAAGCAATAGACTGTCTGAGCCTAGCTAAGTGTAGAGATCCTGACTACCAGAAGGCTGGTTATCAGGTGATCAATTCTTTGGCCACAAAAGCCCGTATCCAGATTTGTTTTTTTCCAAAACCACCCCCTGAAGACTAGCTAAGATGGTGGAATAGAAGAAAGCAATATAGCTCAACTTTCTCCAGAACTACTACAATGGTGATCTAAGAAGAATGTGGACCTGTTAGTAAATGGGGGAATAAAAAGGGAAATCCCCAATTTGACATGTAGGTGAGCGACCAGGGGAGGAACTTTGTAACAGGGTCAGCCTGGATCCTAGACTCAGCATAGAGCTCTGAGCTTGGCTAGTAGGGCAAGTATGCCTAGAACTGATCCCTCAGACCCAGGCCCAAGCCAACAACAATTCATCTTCCAGAAGGTCCAGAATCCTGGACTCAGTTTCCAGAGCTCTGAGCTAGGCCTGAAGCACAGGGACACCTAGAACTCATCTTGTACTAAATCCTAGCTCAGACCAGCAGCTCAGCATTGGGAACATGAACTCAACGTCAACTAAACACCTAGAGCCCCCAGTATGGAGGGTCCCTCAGTGCAGATCTTGTCTTCAGGACCCTGCTCATAAAAGGGGAAGGGGATAGGAGAGCTTCCAGATGGACTCTGGCCATTTGAAACAACTCCCAGCTAAGCCGGAAACATAGGTTTGCTCAAAGCAGATTGTCATAAGAATGACTAAACAAACAAACAAAAAAGATAAAGAGCCAGTTGAGACCAGCGATGCCTGAGACACAAAACCAGAAGAAAATTCCCAAGCAAAGCCTCTGACAAAAACATAACTTGGCCACAAAAAATCAATTAGCATTCCTCAAAGAAATGATGCAAGAGTTAAAAAAAATTAGTTGAAGAATGGTATTACAAATGAAATGAGAATGAAAAAGGAAAAGACTGAAAAAGATTGAAGGAAGAGAAACTTTGAAAAATATTTGAAAGCCTGGCATAAGAGATACAAAACCTTACCCAAATAAAGCTAATAGTTACATATTTATATATCATTTATATAATATATTTATATAATATTTATTTATATATGTATTATAATGACATATTTATATAATAGTCATATATATATTATGTGCCAGAACCTGAGCTAAGCACTTTACAATTGTTATATTATTTGATCCTCACAACAACACTGGGAGGTATAAGCTATTATTATCCTCATTTTACAGATGAAGAAACTGAGGCAAATAGAGGTTAAGGGACTTGCTCAGGTCACACAGCTAGTAAGAATCTGAGGCAGGAATTGACCTCCGGTCTTCTTGACTCCAGGCCCAACATTCTATCCACTGCACCATCTAGAAGGCTCTGTACTCCCTGAAAATTAGAAGAGACCAAACAATAGTAATTAGTAATTCCATGTGACAATTAGAAATTTTTAAAGAAATTTAATAGAAAAAAGGGAGAGTGATACAAGCATACCCTAAGACCTGTTGGCAGGGGTCATAGAAAGAGTCAAGTAAGATGAAGGCCCAAGGAGTGATTTGGGGTGTATTTTGATGATCTTATAATTAGGAAGAAAAGTAAGAGGTGGGGGAAAGGATATACTAGGGAAGAAAAGAGGAGGAATAGAGGAGGAATTTATTATCTCACATAATCAGGGATTATAAATTGAAGGCGATATATAAATGAGAGAGGAGTGGAAGGAGTAATTATCACTTGAATCTCACTTTGAATTGATGCTGAATGAAGAATCAGGAGAATAATTTATATTCTACCAACAATATTGTAAAAACAAACAATTTTGAAAGACTAGAACTCTGTTCAATGTAATTCACGATCAAGAGGGATTCCAGATGACTGATCCTTTAGAATGCTGCCCACCCACCTCCTGACATAGAAGTGATGGTCTAGATAAGCAGAGGGAGATATGCATTTCTGGATATGGCCAGTGTGGGAATGGATTTTGCTTGACTGCATATTATTGCAGGTGTGTTTTGTTTTTCTTCTTAATTGGGGAAAAAAATTGATTTATTTTAAAAAAAGTCTCTCCCTCCCCCCCAAAAACAAACATAAAAACTAGAACATTGCAAGATATTTAGAGTGCAGAGAGATCGCAAGGATTTTCACTGGACAAAACACCATACTTGTGGAGCTTTGCATGATAATAATGAGAATTTGGGCTGGAGGAGAAGACAATGACTTTGCCTCTTAAATTTACCTTTTGTTCTAGATCAAATTCATTTGACTGCTAGGAAAAGGAAGAGGAAGAAGAAGATCGTCATCATCATCATCATCATCCTCAGCTTCTCAAATTGGTAGTTTGGGTCCCCAGAGGGCAGATACTACTATTCTCAGATAACATGATAAAGACAGTTAATAGAAAAAGTTCTCTTAAGAATCTAGTTCACGCCTTCCCAGGCCCTGCGCTGTATCCATTGAACCACTTAGCTATCTTAGTAAAGATTAATAGGCCCAGTAGCCATTGTCCGCCATGAGACCCTTTGAGCAATGAACGACCAGTAGAGACCGTCATGCCCAGCAGCCACCACAAGATCAGCAGAGATCAGGTCCATATGTTCAATGATCATTGTCAATCACTGTGAGACGAACGGAGCAACATGTCTAGTAAAAACACTACACCTAACAGGCCCAGTGAGAATACAAATGACATCACTAGGAAAAATTCACATTCCTCATGTATCAAAAGCATACATGACCTTCCAGACATGTGCCCTGGCCACACACGTTCCCTGTGTTAGTGCCTCTCATGCCGGATCCCAATTCACATTTACTACTAGTAGTAGGTGTATTTGTAGAGTAAAGTGCTTCAGATTAATGGGAATGCTTTATTGTAAATTTTCTTTCTGTGTTTTCTCATTAAATGCCTTTGTTTTGAGCTGACTGTGCCATCTGGCTGACTACAGATAAAGTAGATGCATCAATAGAGCTCATGAACTATGGTTTTGAGTATATGTCCACCCACCCACAGAGTACAACAACTTAGGGTGGCTGTGGTAATTGCCCCCACGTGGGAGCAAAGGGTGGGGTCTCCCAGAAGCTCCAAGTATAAGGACAATCAGAATGGAGAATAACATAGTCCTCATGGAGAAGCGGTCAGGGAGTATCCTTGCCAATTCCAATCCCCTCTCCACCATTGCCCTATCAGGCAATGTTTTGTAGAACTGAGAGTTCACCAAATGCCTTAGAGTAACTTTGTAGAATAGACCGCCACCATCAAATGTTACTTCATGGCTAGTCATCCCAAAAGGGGGGAATTAGATATGGTTAGGAATCAAAAAAGCTTTATAAATCTCCCTGCTAATACTTGCAGTCAGAAAAAGATAACTCGATCAACCAACCTTCCCACCACCCCCAAATCACCCCAAACAAAGTCTTATTGTTCTGATTATGGTGCTTTTTTTTTTTTTGAGAAAAGACAAAGGTTTAGCTGTGAGTTTGTGTTTGTAGAGCTGCCTCTGTACTTATTCTGTGCCCTACAGAAAAGATGCTGAAGGGGCTGGTGTTGGGCAAAGGACAAAGGATCAATATGCAGCAAATGCCTCCAAAAGAGAATGCACCCCCATGGCATCTTCCCAAAACACAGACCTATAGTTACTGATTCTCTTTAGTTTCTGATTTCTGACTGCCTGGTACACACAGCCAATTATGGTAATGGTATCCAGGCAGACAGACTATGCCTGGTGCGGATCTCTTCTCCAAAACCTAAATTCAAAAGAAGTCTGCAGAAAAAAGAAATCCTCATTAAAATTACTGGCAATCATCATATTAAGATAGCTTTGAGCATAAAACTACCAACCTAGTGATATTTTCAGGTTCATTTATTTTTTATGGGGATGTATGTCATCAGGAGCAGGGGGAAAAACTGGCAAAGTGCTAAGTGTATCTTTCACTGATCCACAATAGTTAATACAATGGAGTTGTCTTATGCAGAAGTTTATGAGAATTGTTTTCAGATGAAATCTATTTCAAGTAAATGTTGTAATGGCTTATCCCTATTGCTCTGGGTTGAACCTGAGGCCAGTTCCCTGGTAGTTTAGTTTTAATACCAGAACAAAATAAGACACTCAGAAATTGCCCATAGACGCTGGATACACATAGACAAGGATAGACACTGAAAGTCAGGTCAGCTGAGTGATGCTCCATTGACTGAGTTGCCCATCATGGTCTATCAGCCAAGCCTCAGTGATCCCCTCCAGATTTTCACGGCTGTTTCCAGGCAACCTGGAGGTCACGTCAACAGCGAAACCTTTAGTTCCCTGAGCCAACCAATACTCAAGTATCATTTCGAAACCTTTGAAGGAAAAACTAACCGAATTTTCATGGGGGTGGGGGTTAGGATTATATGTGCTAACCCTGGTAAACAGAAAAAATTCTCTCTTCTTTCACTTCTCCTATCCCTTCAAGTTATTCTTCTTGATAATGTTTGAATTGTGGCTTATAGAATGAAAAATCAAAGAATAGAACTCTTCACGTCTAGTCAGGGCTTATTTCACTTACCCAAAGAGGCATTTATGAGCCCCAAGAAGGACATCTTGTTATTGTTGTTCAGTCATTTCCCATTGTGTCCTATGCTTCATGATCCCATTTGGGGTTTTCCTGGCAAAGATATTGTCATTCCTTCTCTAGCTCATTTTACAGATGAAGAAACTGAGGCAAACAGGGTTAAGTGACTTGCCCAGGGTCACACAGCCAGTAAGTGCATGGAGATGAGTGTTCCTGGTGTCAGGCCCAGCACTCTATTTACTGTACCACCCAGCTGAAATCAAGCTCTTATTCTTGTTTTAGTACTTCAAAGATCTGTGATATGATGTCTCTGATACAGACCTGAACGCCTATAGAACTTTGAAGACTGTTGTGGAGTGTTTCTGTAGTTCTGTGTTTTTTTTTTCCTGAAAGTTCTATTAAATTAAAAATTAAAACATAAAATTAAAAAATTAAAATTAGAATTAAAAATTAAGCATAAAATAATTAAAATTAAAAATAAAACAATAACTTAAGGTTTTGTGCCTCTATCCTTCCTCCTTCCCTTCCAGTATGAATCCTCTCAAACCCAAGGCACCACTCAGCTAGGACAACGACTATACCACGGACCAGTGCTGGTCCCTTGGCTCACTCTCCAGGGACAGGGAAACCCCTCCCTCATTCCTCCCATTGGGGCATTAATAGGGGCAGGGAGAAAAAGAGGCAGTTTCTCTTCTTTTCCCTTTACTCTCCCCTTGCCCTGTCCCCATCACCACCACCAGTGGGAAGGAGAGAGGAATAAGGAAGATGTGCCCTGGGATCACAACTGGGGGGCCTGCAATATGAGAGGGTACATGGCTTACAAAGACAGTTGGAACTTATACAGAGCCAAAGCTAGTGAGAATGAAGGACCAGAAGCATCACCTGGACCATGGGACTGGTGAGGACCGCAGTTTGGCTAATACCAGAGATGAGGGGCGGGAATAAGTGAGCTATGGGCAAGGCTAGGGAGAGAGCAGCCATTTCTAGAAGCCAAGGGCAGTCGCAGTGAGGGTGAGGAAAGAACAGACTATGGGAGGTAACCTTGGTAAAGGACAGAAGTGAAAGGTTTGGTAGAGAAGGATTGGTGAGTAGGTGGAAAGATGAACTGTGAAGCTGGCGTGGTCGCCAATGGTGACTTTCTAGGAAGGTATCTAGACATGTTCTCTCTGCACCACCTTCATCCTTCAAGATTTCATAGGGTAGGGTCTTAAGACTGGGAGTGTGACTCCTCTTCCCTTGCCCATGCCTCCAAGCTCCAAGATACCCTGAGCTGTAGTGGACAAACCTGGCTTGACCTGCTCTAAGGAAGAAAAGGCTCTTGAGTTGGGGCCAGACCCTAGGGTTGGGTGAGCTGCAAGAAGATGATGTCTTAAGACTAGCCTAAATCTAAATCGTCATCAGGTTGGATGCAGGGCACCTACAGAAATACTGTGGGCAGCTACGGTGGCGCAATGGATAGAACACTAGGCCTGAAGTCATCTTTCTGAATTCAAATCCGGCCTCAGACGTGTACTGGCTGTGTGACCCTGGCCATCACTTAACCCTGTTTGCTTCAGTTTCCCCATCTGTAAAATGAGCTGGAGAAGGAAATAGCAAACCACTTCAGTATCTTTGCCAAGAAAACCCCAAATGGGGTCACAGAGTCAGACACAATTGAAACAACTGAACAATAACAATAAAAAGTCCTCAGACAATAGACATATAATAGTACATCCCTGTCCTCGTACTTAGAAGACTGTTTCTTCTGGTTTTCCAATCAAGAACTCATGGTTGCCTCCACAATCCTCCACAACAGAGGAATGTAAGCTATGATGATGATAATAACCTCCTGGAATTTAAAATAAAAAAAAGGCGACTACAATATGATCAGTATTCCTCCTCAGAGTAAGAGAAAGAAAGTCAGAGACTTAGGAGCAGCTCGCTGTACTACAGGTCTGAGCTGCAGAATTAGGATTCTTAAAAGAAGCCCAAGCAAACTTGTCAAACCCGTCTGGGCAGCACCCGGAACTGTTATTTATGACTTGCTTTTGTGACTTCTCTCTCTTATGGGACTGGAAGGAAGCCTGGGACTGGCTTTTACGGGACAACTCCCAAGTGAGAGTAATTCACAAGTCCACGACTGAATAGTGTGAGATGGGGGAGGAGCAGATCGTATCCATAGTTGGTTCATTACGGTGAGTCTTCACTGGGCCCTGAGCATCCAGAAGGCAACCTTTCCATTATTTTTGGTGGTGATACTTTGGAGTCCTATCATTTTCCCTGACGGTGTAGGAACTGGATTAGAATCCAGGAGGCCAAAGGGAAGAGGCCAAAGGTACTTTACAAAAGAGCTGATGACAGACCCGGTTCCCAGTTCTGTCTGTAGGTTTTTGCTAACTGTCCCTTTTATCTCTCTTCTTCCTGGCACTCCTCTGGCTTTTTTCAGGGTCATTTCCTGAGGGCAACCTCTGTTCTGCCTTTCCATTTCCTTCCTCTTCCCTCTGCAGAATGACTGAACTCTATTTGAAAATTGCTCAAAGGGGGAATGGCTGATAGTTGTAAACAACTGTAGCTTTAAACTTGGCCTGCACAGGACAGAAGGAAAAAAAGTCAGAGAAAGAAGTAATGTCAAGAGTGGCCGTAATGGGAAGAAACAGAGAATGAATGGTGAGGTTTGCTGTTCAAATGACTATCTGTTTACCAGGAATGCAGGGATACTGCAGAAAACTCTTCCTGAAATAATTTTAAAATTTAAAGGATCCAGAACATTCCATAATATCCCCTAGGCAATTGAAAACAGCACCTTTCTCAAAGCTTGCAATTCCTGTGACCTTCACATAATTATAAATATATATATATATATATATACATATGTCATCTTAACATATCTTATACATAGATAATTGCTAAACATTATATAACAATACACTACATAATATATACTATAATACTCTGTATATCAATATAATATTAATATCTAGATATAATATATAATATTTATATTTAGATAAATTTCTGACATATATGAATATACTATATGTGGTATGTATACTAGCATGAATATGCTATAGTATATATTATACTATTCTATATATTATATCAATATAATATTTATATCTAGATAGTATATCAATATAACATTTATACCTAGATACTACATCAATACAATATTTATATTTAGATAATTTTTTGACATCTATATAGCTCTGCAGTTTACCAAGTGTTTCGCAAAGCTCATTTTTTTCTTGTTAATTATAAACTTAATCATCAATAAATACAAGCATTTTAAGACACA